GAGCTGGAGAGATGACAAGACTAAAAAGTCTCATGTGGCAAATTACACTGGAAAGCAACTTACAAAATGTTCCACTGCTTGCTAGGTTGTAAAGCAAGAAAATGGAGACATGAAGTAACTAAAGTAAGGATTGTGATGTTGAATTGCTATGCTGCAGTTGTCTTGCTGAAGCATAGAATGAAACAAACAAAACAAAGCAAAAAAAAAAAAAGTATATATCTTTTCTGTTTCCATGATATTGTTGTCTCTTTGTCCGTGTAAAGAAATTTTCCTCTTTTCCAGTGAATGTAGGGAAAAAAATAAAAATGTGGAGTTTTAAAAGCTAAAATTACAGCTAGATACTTTTTAATGTATTTAATGTAATTTAATACCCTTGCTGTCTCTGTTTGCATTCATTAAGATTGTTCAGCTCTTTGCATTCAGTTTTAATTGGAGAGAAATTAGAGTAAATCCTGTTTAAGCAACTTTTCAGTTTTTATAGAAAATAACAAGTAGTTGGACTTCTTTACTAATACGTGAAGCTAGAAAAGCATGTTGAGTGCATACCCTATTGCAGCTGAATGCCGGGGAGGCAGGAGGGAGGGAGGAAGGGGGGAAAAAATTTCCTTTTGTTTTGGAGAAACCACAAAACTTTCTCTGAGGTTTTATTGTTGTTATTTCAAAAGTTAAGTGTCTACAGGAGTATTTCTTCATGGAAATTACTTCTAACCATCACAAAAGTAGAGGCTCTGGTCTTTGTGGATTAGTACTTGAGAACAATACTCAAACCATTTTAGAAATCATGCCTGCCCACGGAAGCATTTCAAATAAAAAAGAAAATGTTTGCTTTTGAGTGTGAGTTGATATCCATTGGAGCAGAAGTGTGTTTTACACATGAGGAAAACAGTACATTGATACTCCATTCTTTGTCTTGTTTTGAACCAAGAGTATAGATCGCAATTTATGCATTGGATTAGCAGGTATGAAAATAGATTTGTCTCTCTTCTCCATGTCAAATGTTGATTGACTTGTAAAAGGCAGTTCATAGGCTAAAAGCAGGACAAGTTCTACTTTTCTACATTTTGCTGGTTTAACCAATATCAATATGAGCACAACTTTCTTATTTCAAAGAAGTTGAGAGTTAATTGGTTCTGCAATAAATCTAAATAGATCCCTACATCTCAGTTCAAATGAAGGAAAATAACCAAACACTGAATTATCATTACTGCAGAATATTTTCCCCAAAAAACAAACCTTCAGGAAAAGTTCTTTATCTTATCATAAAATGCAGTTTATTGTACTAATTTGTGTTGTTGTTTCTGTGATGAGACAAGCCTGTGGAAAACTCAAATCTTGCTTCTATGATGACCATCCAGTGTAAACCAGAAATAGACAAGAGATTATGTTTATTTAAGGCTTTTGTCTTGCCTAAATACAGGTGTCATTTTAAAACAGTCATTCTTAAAATGTTTTCTGCAAATGGCAAAAGAGCATAATAAATAAGTACTTTCACAGTGCTTCATGACAAAGAATGAGCTCTGCAAGGGGAGAAACTGAGTAGAACAATTACCAATGCTCTCTTCAGAAACATTCTTTCCTTGAAAAAATGTTTCCTGTGAGAAACATTAATTAGCTACCTGAAAGTACAACTTATTTATATTATTACAACTATTGACTATTACAACTAGTCATTTTATTTTGTTACTACTCACACGTATTTATATTTAAAATACAGTGTTAAAGTTACCTGATAGTGAAATGCTACCATTTGCTCTTTTTTCCTCCTCACCACGGTCATACCAGTGCATTATTTTTTTTTTTTTTTTTTGAGTTCACAGGATGATGATTATGATTATTATTATTATTATTTTGGCTACATTAAATCCACAAAGTAAGCACTAGTAAGTTTTTGCATGGAATTGAAATACTTCTCACAGTGCTTTTACTTCTGAAATATTTAAAGTAGTTTAGAAATATTATTTTTCAATGAGAAAGTGGTTGGTTCATGATAGATCATAGGGGAAAGTTGTACCTTTTCTGTGAAAGATATGCAGGTGAAATAGAAGGGGGAAAAAATCAAATTATGGTCCATTTCCTGTATTTCCACATTTCATATATAACTAGAATTTAAATGATTTTCTTATCATTATGATTTTTCAAAGAAGACATGGAGCTTTTTTTTTTTTAACCTCGAAGTTGTAATGTGATCCCACTGACGTTACTATGATGATTCCCACTAAACACAGTGCAACAAGGCCAGCTAAAATTGTTGGAGTAATTTATGACTCAGTAGTAGAGAAAAGAGCAGAAGATGGCTGTGACTCCACAGTTCTCAAGCTGCCCTGGATTTGTCTGAAGTTAGAGCTGTGTGTACAGAACAGAGTTCTGTTTACTGGAACTTAAATGCTGGCCAAAGCACAGAGAAAAATCTTTTTGTTTTAGTACCTCATATTAATTTGTAATAGATACGTATAAAATATATAGAAATAAATTATCATGTGAAGTGTTTTGTTTCACAATATCTAGCATCACTAGCTGAGATAAGTAGACTCTGTTATTTCTTCATGTAAAGGATTTGACTGAAAGAAGTCAGCATTTCTGTTAATTATTTTAATGGAATAGTAAATTCACATGTGTAACAAGAAATAACAAGCTGGAGGTAAACAGTGATAAGTATACTTAGTAATAGAATGAAATAGAATGAATAGATGAAAAGTATGTTATATTTCGATAGTAATTATATTTCCCTGGTGTTAAATCCTGTACTGTATTTCCTACTTCTCAGGTAATAACTCCAAGTTAGCCACCTATTTTTAAAAGCTGTTTCTGAAGCAGAGGATGTGAATGCTGATCTGCCCTCCTGTAGAGCTTCTCATGGATAAGATAATACGTCATGCCAAATATTTTTAGAATCGTAACTAATTGATAACCCAAATCCTTGCCCTCAAAATAGTATGATAGTCTTCAAAAAGTGCTGAGTACCTACGAAACAAAAATTGGGTTTCTCTGATAATTGTTTTCCCCTTATCATTTCTCTTTTAGAATGGTAGAGGGGATGTCAGTGTGGTATCTCTGAGCTGAGACTGTCAGTCTCTCCCTTAATTCAAGGGCCCGAATGCCAATATGCCAATAACAATTTACAGAAGCCAGAAATGCAAATGTTAGTATGATTTGTTAGACACTTGCCTTACACTTTGCATATGGTTCTGTGCATGTCTGCCACTTTGCTGCTAAAAGTACACGTTTTCCAGAGTTCTCCTTGCAAGTAAAACAAGTAGATCTGCCAGAATTTCATTATTTCCTTCCTAATACATTACTCCACAGTTTAGCTTGAAGTCACGTACAGTATCTTCAGTTTCTCCTGTTGAGTGTAGATACTAATGTTTAAGAGTCCCCAAAGATGGTGAAAGACACTGGAAGGAAACATGATCCCTATGAAGATGATGAAAATATTGAAGATCAGCCAGAATAGATAATAAATAACATAAAAGAAAGATCCTGTTCTCTAGTGTTCCTGAGAGCTATTCTAAGCACTGCTTATGTCAGCCTTTGGCAGCGTGGTGGAAAGGGGATTCACGTTGGCTGGATGCAGTAAGTAAATGAAGATTTTCATCCAGGATGGCTATCATTGAATTGTTGTGCTAGGTGGAGAAATATAATTCCTTAACAATCTGATATCTCTGCATTTAGCTTGTTTCATTCACAAACATAAATCGAGTATCTTTTTTTCCAGTTTCCCTGAAAGCTGGTCTAGAGGGGCAAGTACATGTAGATCTAGCATCCTCATCTCTAAGGGATACCATTTTCTGGCCAGGCTAGGAGATTAGAAATCCCTTGGAGACAGGATGTAGCAGTGCTCAGAGACAGCTGGGCTTCTAGGCTCTTCTCGCTGCATGACACAAGACAGGATTTAAGCAGAGGAGCAGGAAGTAAGTCAAAACTCACTGGGGGGGTTATAAAAACTTCAAGCAAACTATGGCAAAACATTTCTCTTACAATCAATTAGCAAATTATTTTGGAAAGAATATATTAACATTAGCTTATCTGGTTTATAACATCACTGAGTTCTGTTTCCTATTTATTACAGTGTATGGGAAGAATTCAATCACAGAAATTGAAAAAGAAATTGAAAAAACTCTTCAAAATATAAGTTTAAATAAGTCTTCACAACTTTTGGAAGCTTCATTTATAGTTCCACTATTAATAAAATTAATATATGCAAAATTTCTTGTTTTTCCTTCAAAACTTAACTTCCCTATAGTGCCATGCTGTGATTGAAATATATTTATCAATATGTATTACATTTTTATAGCTTAAATAATAAAATAATTTGACATTTATTTAACTGAATTCTTCACCAAATCACATAAATGAATAAATTAAAACTTGAATTTCCTCAGTAAACTTATTTTCTTTCAAGTACATCAAGTAGCTGCACTTAGTTTCATAGGATTAGCTTTAAAGATAATAACTTTAGTTTTTTTATTGACTAGATGACATGGTTCAGCCTGTAATAACCTTCTCTCCAGTAGGACCTCAGTGTAGGTTAATCAGCATGGGTTTTTTCAGTCAGGGTTAGGATAATCTTTTCTTTCTCTTCGGAAGTTGCAGCCCATGATTTTCTGACTCAGAAAAGAATCTTTGGAACGGAAAGGACGCTTCTTTGGAATAGGTCTGCTCATTAATAACTTTGAAAGTTTCTCGTTCAGGATACAATAAATGGTCATTAGAACCTGTGTAGATGGTGCAATAGAAATTAGAAGATAAATCGAAACAAATGGGATGAACCGAAATACCAGACTTTGAAATAAAGAGATACATAATGGCTAGTAGCCATATGTAGGGGAACTGCTTAATCATGGCCTGAACCTCTGATTGATCACCTGAGGCAAGCAATGAGTCAGCCATGGGAACAGAAGTGGAGGCAATTCACCTGTGCTGACAGAAGGGGTGGAGCCTGGCTCCACCTCTCCTAGACCCATTTAAGAGCTGACTACCAGGAGGAAAGGATCTCTTCTGGAGATCCCTTCTCTGGAGTTTTGCAGCAAGCCCAGGTCACAGGTAAGCTTTCTATCTATTCTTTTTGTTGTTATAATCTGCTTTGCTAAACTCTCTTGTTTGTTTCATAATTATAGCATCTTTGAATTCATTGACTATGTACCATATATCTTAGATGTCTTGTTCCCTGGAGTTAACAATGAATTGCAAAGTCTCTGTCGGCTTTGGGTTGAGTTGGTCTCCCACCTACAAAAACATCCTTTAGAAGTTCTCTCTTTAAATCTTTGCATCCCTTATCCCAAATTATTATTTCTGGTATTGGAGTCTTAATGTCAGCTGTTGCTAAGTGTCATAAAATAAATCACATAAAGATAAAGCATGCTCAGTATCTACAAATGTGATAGAAGTCAGTGCTGTGTAGGCTGGGAGCCTTCTGATTTGGAATGGAAACAGAATCCCTGAGCTTCCGAAAAGGAAATACTGCATGTAGACCCACCCACTGAATGACTTCACTGAAATATTAAGCTAATATTATCAGAAACATTTATCTATAATTTTTGCAAAGTTCACTGGTACTAGTGGGTTTCCAACTCTAAATATGTTTTATATTTGTTTAAAATTTGAAATAATTGGGACTGGTATTAATTGTGCCAGAGCAGCAATGAGTCAGAGTTGTTTTACTGCCTTAGTGAACTTTTGAAGAAACTTAATTGTCTGGTTGAGTTACTATATGTTCTATAAACATGCAGCAGGAGAATTAATCAAATCATTTTCTTATTAACAATGGAGAAAACTTGGAGCTCTCAAAGTTATTAATTTATAATGTTAAGAGATGTACTGTTGGCTAGCAAGTGCCTTAGGATAAGAACCAGATCATTTCATGAAACTAGTACATTATTATAAAACAGATTTAATACTACTTCTTTTTTTCCTCAAAAATTTTGGGAAATTTTGGTACTTATTTTTAAAGGAGACTGTGGAAGCACATGAGAGAAGAATATTCAACAAAATTTCTTAGAGGACAGTGTGGTTGTATATGGATTCTAGAATAACTTGGAAAGGGTGTACCCTCTTATATCTCAAAAGTAACAATTATGGATTTTAGGAGTGTGAAAGTAAAAAGGACTGTACAAAGTAGCGGCCTTGGGCCTTCTCTTTAAATATCTCATATTTATGCTTTTTGAAATGGAATACAAGTCTGGGCAGACTACCAGCCTAACACAGTATTGCACTTACGCTCTGAATGGTCTTTGGGTGTTACTGATTTGGAAGAACTCGTGGCTTACTTTCAAGCAAGGCTGAAAAAGTAGTTTAGATTAGTAAGTAACTGAAAATTTTGGATTCACAGCAATGCTGGTTGACCTGTTTTCCAGATCTTCCTTCCCTGTAGTGACTTCCCTACTTCTAAGGCTCTTGGAGCAATCAGATCAACACTGAGCTCTCAGTTGTACCTCTTCTGGGGAGACAGGTCCTTGTTTCAGCACACAGTCATGATCTGTCTTTAGAAGAGCACAAGATCTCTAGAGGCAGAGGAGGATATTTAGCACAGAGTCAGTTGATTAGAAAGCTCACAGATGAAGTTCTGGAATCAAACTCGTGCATGGCAGTAAGAAAACAGACTCTGCACAACAGGTTGCAGGTGAATTAGATTTTTTCCTGTTAAAACAGAGTCTTTGTGCACCTGGGCAGAGAGGAGTTGTGAAAGGCCAGATGAAGACAGAGACCTAAAGTTCTGATACGTGATTCCAGTATGACTTTGAATTTTATCCAGTTTCTGTCAAACAGATATACCTTCCAAAGGTTGGGTGAGTGTTCTTCTCAGCATGGAATGGCCATCACAGCCTGTTTTGCCTTCTTAGTTTAGATAAATAGGCATCTAAACTAATGCAAAACTCCAGGGAGAGGAGTATGTACTATCAATGCTTATACTCGCGTTTTACACAATATTATCAGTGAACAGGAAATACACCACATTTTTAATCAAACAAGTTGAGATTTTACGTCTTCTTCATAGTCAACAGCATCTCTCTGTGGAAATTTTAGGGGAGTTCTTGAAGGGCAGTGATCAGTATACATGCTTTAAACCATCAAACTGGATCTCACCTGCTATCAAGAAGTAATGAAAACTTCATAACATTGAACATTGAAGACAAATACTACATGCAGCTGTGTAATATTTTATTTTTGGTCTTGAATGTCAACTAGTTACAATGATTTGCCTTAAGGTTCAAATATATTTGTTTAACTTTTTTTTTTATGGCATGGTATTCTTCTTTTTTTTCCTACTCTTGATAAAAATAAAAAACCCTTTGAAAAGCAATTCAGGTATTTTTATGCCCTCCACTGAAAGTATGATAATTGCACTGCATGAGCACTATATCCATTAAAACTTACATTAGGCATGTTTAAAAAATTTCCTGTTTTGAACAGTTTTTCAAAAATAATAGTTGAATTAGCTTAAAGGAGAGTATGGTTAAGTTCTAAAAGGTGCATGTTTCTCCATTTTAGAGAAGAATTCATACAAAAGAAGGCTTGTGAGGATAGAGGAGGCAATTTGAAAATGAACAGCTTTTCTTCTGTCATTTACAAAAATGAAGGGATTAAAGATGGAACAAGTTGTTGTAAAATGTCAGTTTTCAAAGGAATAATGACTGGAAGTTGTTCTGAGTACGTAGCATACCTTGAATAGAAAATTCTTGTATTTAGAGATTCTATCGAAGAGTTGATAGCTTCAGGTTTTATATGCTCTATCCATTACTTATAACATTGTTCATAATTTTTGACACTCCTGGCTTCAAAGAACTGGTTAAGCATTCAAGAAATGTGTACTGATTTTTGTAAATAACATTTAAAAAGTTTTAGGAAAAGCGAGAGCAGCTGCAAAGAAATAATGATGAACAGTCTGACTTGTTAAATTCTAACTCTTCACCAGCAGAGGTTTTCTATGTACACGCTTACTGCTCTAGCTGCTGAATCAGCCCTTCTACGAAACAGGCAGGAGTAATAATGCCCTGGAAGTTAGACCAACTTCTGAGATGAAAACATTGGCTTTGCAGACTGAAGATTCTGGATCCCTGAAGGTGTTCAAAAAATGTTTAGACATTGTGTTGAGGGATATGATTTATTGGGAAATATTGATGATAAGTGGACAGCTGGACTGGATGATCTTAGAGGTCCTTTCCAACCTCAGTGATTCTATGATTCTCTCAGTCAATACAGTTTGTCAGGAATTGCTAGGAATTCACAGAAATCTCCTTGAGATTGCCTGATGAAAGAAGAAGAGTAATAACCTTTGTCCACTGCAGTAACTTTTTCAAATAGCTATCTAAGCAAAGTATTAGCATTTTCCGGAGTGCACCTCAGTGCAAGAGCAGAGCTGGATCCTCCCTGGGAGCGTGGCAGGAACAGGTATTGCAGCTGCTCTGGGGCCACCTGGATGCTTTGCTCACGTGTCTTGAAGTGGAAGAAAACTATTCCTCTGAATTGCAAATGAGTGGGTGCAAGGACATATCTGCCACTTGGGTGTGTGAGATGGTGGCAGATGAGAGCAATGCGAATTCCTGAGTATAGTAAATGGGTAAATGAAGAAATACTTGTAGTTTCTCGTACTTGGAGCACTTGTTAGTTCCCTAACTTTTGTTTCTGGCTCATATCCGTGCTATACCACTGTTAGTTAACTTGTCTGTCTCTGAGTCTTTTTCCCAGAACACTTATTTAAAGGCTAATAGCTACACAGGATTCTTTTCTATTTGACATCCACTGTAACATCAGTCAATTAAAGAAATTCAGATAATGGGTCCTTTATCTCCAGTTCAGAATTCCCTTGCCATTCACCTTTGTGGAACCATTTATCCTGTGTCTCTGGTATTGTTTCCCTCTTATCCAATCTTGGCCATTTCCTGCTCTATAATCTTGTTTGGCTGTGACTCTTGGGGGACCTGCCTTTCATTTTTATTGCCCCACCTACTGGAACATTTCTTTTGCTCAGTATTTTATTTTAAAACTTTCCAATTTTCTATAGTCTGATTTACTTCCTCTCTGCCTATGGAATTTTGTGAAAGCAAGGAAGAGAAATGCTTAAAATAAATTGCAGTGTATTTCTACTGATACTTATGAACTTTGGTCTTTATAGCAATTAGATTTGAGCTCCAAAAACTTTCACATGAAAATGTGTGGAAAAGGTAATTTACTCATCTTCTCATCATGGAAATACCATGTCACTGTGCATTATTAAGTGGGTTTTACTTCAAAGTTACATGTTGTGCAAAAGAATGAGTTGTTAGCGATGACATTTAAGAAAAGGATTACTGTAACTTATTTTAAAAGGTAATCTTATTTCTCTTACTCATTATGACTCACTGGTTATGACATTTGAGTTAGAAGCATACCATGTAGAGATAACTTCTCCGGGTGTTACTTGTAATCAGTGTCTGACAAATAGTGAGTAGCAGGAAATCAAGACAACAAAGGTTGTCTGTTACACTGCATTTGAGGGCACAGGAGAATGTTTTTAATCTTTGACCTTCCAGTAAAGAATTTTGAAATAAGCAATCGAATAAATATTTTACTGGAACAAGCAAATCTAATTAAAGAAATATCACTTGATTTCCCATTAGTAAGTAAATGTTCATTTTTAAATCTATACAGAAATTATAGATTGGTGTAGACTCTCAGCAACAAAAAATAAGACTTAAAACATCATGGAAAATTATCAGTGTCTAAAAGAGGAAATAGGACTATTTTTTAATACTAAAATTCTAAAAGATATGGAGGAGGAAAGGAGTAGGTAATAAATACCTCTTACCGATGGTTTTCTACCATCAGCAAATTAGAATATAACAGAAACAAAAGTATCTATTTGTGAAGAAAAAAGGCAGTCAAATCAACTCAGTAACCTACCAATATTATGCTAAACTCATTGTAGAATGTAGATATTACAATTTTTTTTTCCATTTTGGTATAATACTGTCTTGTGACTGGGCTTATTAAAACTTGAATACTTTACATGCTGTCAGAATGTGAGGAGTAAATCTAATGAAATTAATTTTTTAAAGCCCCATTTATGTGTATTCTGCTTGGAATGTGCATTTCATTTTGATTTGGGTTTTCCTTTTTGGAGACTTTCCTATAAAGGTTAGCTAAAGCATAGAGGGAGAGTACGTTCCATCTGTATGTGCCTGTAACTTCCACTTGAGGTGAAGTCCTGTTTAACATCCGTTTACCATTGAACTGTGGAAGGAACGTGGTACTTTTTTTAGATTCAGTTGTCTAAAAAGTACTGATGATAATACAGTGTTTATCATCCTTTAATCTTTCAATTCAAGAAGAAACAGAAATTGAAGTTTTTTTTCTGTGAAATGTTTCTTCTAGTTAGCAGATAAGATGCTATCTGCCCATTATTGTAACACTGTTTTCTGGAGCCTCTTTTCATACAGATAGTACTTTGCTGTACTTAAGCTAGATAGTTAACAAAACATTTAACTAGAGCTGTTGACCCATTTACAAGATATTCATTATGCTATTTAACATAAGATAGGGATGATATTTACCTTTCATTAAGGAAACACCCTTTCTTTCTTTCTTTCTTTTCAAATGTTTTCAAATGTACAGACTGGAGGAGTTCCACATATTTGCCAAGAAAGTAGTATAATCTTTTGAAGGATTTCTTCAAGAAACCTGAAATAGGGTTGCACAATATGAAGTTGTCGCTACAGTTGTAGATATTCGTAGAGATACATACAGGTCTAACTATTGGCTTGTCCTAAGCCAGTTTATACGTCATCGTACTCATACTCTGCTCCATACCAGACAATGTATGACTTCTATATTTGGAGAATAGGGAACAATCTACTAACATAACTGAATGGCTTTGCTGGGGAAAGCGGTGGTCCAGCAGAAATATTTCTGAGCCTACCTGATAACCCCAAGAACCTGACTCGACACGATCAGTGATGTCATATTCTGCCTGTTATCTACTTTTTTTGCCCAGATTAGTTCTCTATAATGAAGGATCGATAGTATTATTTTCTTTTGGCCAGTTACTAACAGCTGATTGGGAGACAAAATGGCCTGATGGTAACATAAAGGCTAAGGACACAAGGAGTAGTTGCAATAACTTTGCAGATTTTCAGCAGATTGTAGAGCTGCATTAAAATATTCTAAAGAAACATCATATAGTAATACAGTAAACAAACTTAACAGGATTACCTAAGCTTGAGGTACAGGATTACTGAACAGCATGCTGTGCTAACATTCATAGCAGTACAGTGGATGTGGATAACGAAGCACAAATGTGTCATATAACAGTAAGGAAATAACATGGATTTTAGTGATTTTATTTTAATCTTCAAGTACTTTACAGCAGGAATTTTTTCCTAAAGAAACAAAGATGTTTACAGACAGCTAACAAACTATGTACTAACTTATTAACTGAATTTTCTACAAATATAATTCCACAAAAGTTATCAATACTGAGTGACATGTGGAAAAGCCTTCTCAGAGGATTAAGTTTAAAAAATGAATCATGTCATTTCCCATAGACAAATCAAGAGGTGCTGGCCATATGGTGGAAAATATAGGCAATCTGGCTGGATGTATTAGGTCTGTTTAAAGACACAAATGGAAAATAAATGCAAAGTTTGACATTTTCATGTATCACAAGTGAAAACGCATAATACTGTACTTGTACAAAGAAACAGCAGGGTGTGATACTTAGGACAGAAGCTATGGAGAACATTCTCTTACTACTTGTATGCCTTAACGCGTATCAATGGAGCTGCATCACATAATTCAATAGATTATCTCTTCTCTCCCCTTCCCTGTGTGCATACAAAGTTTGCTTAAGGTTCACTGATGTATTTAGCACCTGAACATAACGTGCTAGAATAAGGATTCAAGAAAAATGCCTTAATGATGTGTCTGTGCATATTACTTAAGTAACAAAGCTATGAAATAATGAAATATTTTTTGTTCCACTGTTTGTACTATTCACATTCTGATGAAAAGTTTCAGTACGCTACACGTGCTGTCTTTCAAAGCAAACAAAACACCAATTAAAAATATAAAAGTGGAACACCGACAAATTCATATTCCATGGCAGCATTGTAGCTATTAACATTGCTTCTTTGTTATTCAGTAGAAAAGTCATTCTGACATTAGTAATTTTTTAGCACTTGTTTTTAGCAACTGGTTCATTTACTCTTGTTCTTCAAGCATCATTGTGATGTGTTTCCCTTTCTGTAAGTGGTATAATCAGGTATTGAAAACCTGCATCAGTTTCTTCCATGTTTAAAAAAAAAAAAAAAAAAAAAGCATTGAAATTCATATGCACAAATCTGAAATAACTTCAATTTACATTTTTTTTATTATTCATAATTGTTCAGAACACATGTAAACTGAAGATATACTGGAGAGGGATGTGTAATATGGTGGATCATAACGTCTCAGTCTAGCATATAAAAGTATACTATTCTGTTACATGACAACTTAATTTGTACTTTATGTGTTTCCAGCTCCAACTTACAAAGCCTCCTCTAGCAATTTTTGGAAAATCTGTTCATGTTGTGGTTTACTCATTTTGAATATCATTCCAGCATGAAGCATTCTCTCCAAGAAGTAAAACTTGTTCTAGCTGCTCATAAAATTTTCCCCAGAAGTGTTTATAAAAGCTAGTAAAAAAGAAAGTGCTCATTATTTTTGATAAGCAGTGAAGGACTGGAAATACATATTTCAACCACAGAGCTAAAGATATCTAAAAGTGGAGAAGTACACGTATGCGTTTTAAAACTGACAGGCATGTCTTAAAAAAGGTAAATTTTTGTGAACAAGTCATTTCAGAATTCAAAACTTCAACTTTCTTTTTGCTGTGGCTAAATGGAGGGAAATTGCACCAAGCCTCAGCAAATGTCAAAATCAGTTTTAAAATATTGGGATTTAAAGGAGGTATAATACCAATAAGTCTAAAACTATTAGGGCCTCCTAGTGAGAATATACAGGACTGGTTTATGTAGTTTTTGACAGAGAACTTAAATTAGCCCTGCAACATGGATGGTGTAACTTTTCCTGCTGTCTGGGAAAGAAATGCTGTCAAGCTCTAAGTTGTGGTGATGGCACTTAGTTTGTATGAGTCTAATAAAAGGGCAGAGTGTATGCATGTTTCTCCGATTTTAGATTTTTTTTCTCTTGGTCAGAACTTTGAAGTCTTTTTAAAGCTTTGTTCTCTTCCTCTTTGCCAGGCTAATAAAAAGAATTATTATTACTACCACATTTGTGTCTCTTGGATTTTATTTTGGCTAATGCAAGCATTTTTACAACATGATCTTGGACAAAGGAGCAATTAGAATTAAGGAGCCTTATCCAACAATTACAGCACTTACTGCAATTATAACAGTAACTTAGTAAGTTGATGACTTACTGAGTTACCCAAATGATACATTTTTATTTTGCTTTTAAAGTTAGCAAAAGCTTAATGCTTGGGTTTTGTAATGAGCCTGTGGTAAGCAGATTTGTAGTCTGAAGCCTCCGTCTGCCACACTGTTAGGCATCAAAGGAGCCCTGTCCTACCAAGCTTTCTATTTTCACAACAGGATATCTGGTTTCTTTTATGAGGATACAGCTATGTTAATTTGGTTTAGTGGTTTGTTGGAGGTAAGCATGCTCTTCACAGCACAAACACCAAAATCCCCTTAAAGCAGTTCCTTGTTAATAGCTGGGGTCTGATTGGCAGTTTTGCATTGTAAAGTGTGATTTGGTTGGATAAATATGTTTAGTCTAGTAAGCACTTTAGTGATTGAGTGTCTGTTAATGGATAAAGGTGGATTATGGCGAAACCTCTACAGGCTGTCATTGAGCACTTAGAGTTGTGAGATGTCATGGGGGAATGGAAAACAAACAGGCACTGTGGAAAAACTCACTAAATATCTTTTAAATATTCAGTGTTATTTCAGTATTTAGGTTTAAAATCATATTCATTTGAGAAGAACAAAGCAGAGCAGAGCAGACTATGCAGCTTGTAGCCTTCTCATTTGGCCTTCAAACAGGCATAATTGCTATGTGCATCTGGGAATATTCAGAGAACTTCACAATCTTTCTTGGCAGATATAGCCAAACAGCCACCAGATACCTGGAGGGTAAATGCAGAATAGCACTAACTTTTCTTAAGAATCTACTGTAAATCCTTTAATTCAGAATGAAATCAAATGTAATTTTTTGTGTTTCCTTAACACCTCAGGGAAGGGTTTTATAAATCAGGTTGCTTACTCATTGTGCAAGTCTACATTCTACCTTTTTTATTAAGGTCTTCTCCAAAGCAAAGTTTTCTGCAAGAGCCATCCGTTCTCCATCTTCTCACCCCAAGCACAGAGATGAAGATCTTTCTTCTCTTACTTTTAAGAAAGGTAATGTGATCCTCTATATAAACCACCAACGAACGTCACTCTTTTTCCCCTACTTAGGTGTACACATCTTTTTTATGAGGTGATAAATATCAGCTTACTTTGGGACTTGGAATGGCCTTGAGGCCAAGTGGCAGATATTCAGGCACATGTAGAAGTCTCCACATTTCGTGAGCTTTAAAACTAGTTTGTCCTTACTCGTAGTCATTTTATAGTGATTTGCTAGGTTTTTTTTTTTATCATCGTACAGAATTGTGGTATATGTTAACAGGTGAAGTAGATACTCAGAGTATTTTGGTGTACACCTGAAATGCTTAGACAAGTAGAGCTGCTGTGTAAGTCTTATTAAGGTCTTTAAAAGTTAAAATCTGTTCTGGTCTCTGATGATTTGTGTGTGTGTTGATGTTTCTTTTTTTTCTTTTTTTCTTTTTTTTTTTTTTTTTTTATCTTTTGGGTTTGGCGGGTTTTTTTGGAAGGAGGAGGGAGAAGGAAGTTTGTTTACAAGGAAAACCCTGGAACTCTCCTTTGTGTTCTCTTTTATTCCTTCCTTTTCAAAGACATATGAGGCTGATCCAGGCCTTACAGGTGATACTGTCACGCGTCAGTATTAGTTCAAGCACACAAAACCCACAAAAACTCTAGTGACAATTTTAGAGTGGAAAACTTCCTCCTGCTTAGTTTTCGGAAAATTCTGACAACTTCACTATAAGCCTACAGGTTTCACAGACACTTTTTTCATATGATTACAACTACCTGCATAGGAGGATTACTTTCTGGTCAAATCTGGAGGAAATAGAGAGTGGCAGCTTCAATTTTAATTGTGGTCTTTACAGCTAGGAACTCCGGAGGAGGACATATTAGGTCTGAAATGTCTTTAATGGTCTTGCCAGGATCTTACAATAGAGTTGGACTCTATTATAGTATACTATACACTAAATAAGCTAGATAGTCTTAAAACCTATATCCAGCCAGGCAGTATCTTGGAGACAAAATTTTTTTTTTTAGGATACATGCGATGATTCCCATCTTGCAGTAACTGAACTAAGAGAAAAAGATTTGTAGGCTTAATCTTTCTCTGTGCTTCTTATCACAGCTCTTCTTATTTGAATGTAAGAATAATTTGGCATTGTAATCATTATTAGTTTCATCTGTCATATTTGCTTGTAATCACAAAAATCTTGGTCGTAGATGTCAGTTATTGATAATAAGATACAAAAAGGGAGGGAAGTTTTTAGAAATACATAAGGATATTATTTCTTAGATATACCTGTTTTGATTTAGAGACTGCTTAGAGCCCATTATAGAAAAATATGTACTTCTTAGTATGCTAGACCACTGGAAGATGAAAAAGAAATACAACTGAGGAAATTAGGCAGATAAATTTATTTAATTTTCTGGTCCCTTAAAAAGTTAGCGCTTCTTCATATGGAAAGCCAACTTTTTTCATAGAAAGAAAAATAACAATGCAGGGCTCATTAAAGATCCAAGCTGTGAAATACAGGCCCTTGTTCTAAAATGTGCTGCCAAGACTGAAACTATACTTTTAGAGGATCTTTTTTTTTTTTTTTTTTTGCTGATTTTACAAGTAAATTAGGAGCTAAAATGAAAATGTGGTAGTTATTTGGAGAAAGGCTAACATTTGAAAATAGTTTGAGAAAGCAGCTGATTGAGTGAGTACAAAAAGAGAACGCTGGTATGTTTGGGGAATCTGTGAAAGCTTAAGTAATGGAGCAAGATTTGAGGTGGACGAGGAGAAGGAAGCTGAGCGAAGAACCAAAAGTATCAAAGCCCTATTGACAGTAAGACAGGAATAATTGTGAAGACAGGAAAATTTTGAGACAAGACTAAACAGCTGGCTTGCAGAACATTAGGGGCTGAAAGGAACAGAACAGAAAAACATGGAGTAAGAAAGGAAGGACACTGGGGGAATTAGAGGTAAATAATATAATATTGAAATGATGACAACTTTGGGATGTGAAAATTGCAGGCAGGCAAGGCAAGAATGAGTCAGAAGATATGGGTTATTTACAGGAAAGAAGAAAGAAACAAAAGGTGGAGAAAGAAAGCCATCTGAAGGGGAAAAAATGTAAGTAAAAGATGCAGTGAGACAGCAGGAAGAGATGCTGAGTAAATGTGTCATTTGAGAGAAAGAAAGCATTGCGTTTTCTGGTTGCTTGTAATGAAGTTCAGACATATATGGTAAATATAAAATCTGGGAACCTTAATTCTGTGCTATGAACAACTAATGTGCTTTATAAGAAGAGATAAAAATGAGAATACTGATGATACTGTAAATGGTTTGTGATAGATGCATTAGTACAGTGAGAAATACACATGATCCATGAACATGGGAACTTTTGGGTTACCATCTTAAAATCGTGCCAGTGACTTTAAGACTAAGTGGAAGTGGGTTTTCAGGAATGACAAATAGTTTCAAGATATCTTAGCCCTCCATTTCTGTTTCTAATCCTTGCAATCTTTCTGTTGCTTTTTTCTTTTTTTTTTTTCTTTTTCTTTTTTTAAGTTATGGCTTTGAAAGCTAAAAGTTCTTTTCTTTCCTAATTTACCATGTAAGGACTTCGCATTAAAAAACAGGATGAAGAAATGGACTTGCTCAACAGGGGAAACAGTAAAAATTACACACAGCGAAGTGCTCTAGGTGCATGAACTAATCAAACAAGAGAAAGCAGACATTAAAGAGCAGGTAAGGAAGTCCTTTTAAGTGTTGTAATTTGAAGTAGTCTCTTTCTGTATGGGAGGTAAACTTCTAAGTATGAATACTTGCTTAGTATTAAATATATGAATACGTATATGCATACAGTGCAAACATAAATACTAGTTGGGTTTCTTAGGGGAGGGGGTTTTTGGTTTTACTCTACAGCCTTGGTTATAGCTTTCACATCTTGCTTCAATGGTATTCAATTTTTCTGCTTTGGTTAGTGTTAACCACAATACTGTGCTTCTACTCCAGAACTAAAATATGTGCAGCTTTTGTAGCTCTACTTCACAAATACCCAGCAGGCATCCAAACACTTTCGAGCAATAAATAAGACCCCACAAACAAAAGCAAATTAAACCTTCCACTTCTATTCATAAAAATATATAAGCAGCCTTCATTATCCAATCAGAAGCCTGTCTGTGGCACATGAAATAACTTGGTGGTCTTAGTCCAACTCCAACTGGACAGCTGTTTGGACCATAAAACTCCACCATAATTGGCTTTAACCGACATCCTTGTCAGCAAAATAGCCAAGCTTTGCAGGGGCACAGAGACTGAACAGCTTTTCTCATAGCCTAGAGGTGGTTCTTCTAGATTAGGCATGTGGGTGGCCTGCTGATAGTGGGAGAATTACTGAAAAAAAATAAGTTACACTGATTTTTCTTATACCTTTTGTGCGTGTGTGTGTGTGATCAGAACAGAGTTCTACTCTGAGCTTTTCCTAAATATTAACTTAAATGTGTAGAATGTATATTGAGATTGAAAGATGTTTTGGTTACTGTGAAATAAATTGTCTTTTGGAAGTCAATAGCAAAATAGCTTTTGGTTTCAAAGAGGCCAGAATTTTACTCAATGTTTAAATAAACACTTTTATTTAATTAAAAAATATATCTATAAACAAGTGGAGATTCTGAATCAAACTTTTGAATATGAGTGGGAAGGACAGTTCCCCCATTGTCACTTGGCTAAATCCAGATCCACAGATTTATCCTATACTATCTAAATAAGTTGTGGGATTGTAGTAATCTTCTTGTCTAAAATTTAAATGAATGATAACGTAGCCCAAAAAAAAAAAAAAAAAAAAAAAGGTAAAAAATGTAGTCTTGAAATAGAAACAAATGGAGAAAAATGTGTCTCAGACTGAGAAATTTTTCAAGAACATCACACCTAGAGCAAGCCTTGAATAGATTGAAAGACCCTGATCTCCTCTTACTGCCAGGATTATCGCTCAGTAGGTACTGTAGAATTATAAAGTTACAGAAAGTACCTTTATGTATTTGAGATTGCTTCACCTGCTGAGAAATAAGAAGCATGAAGCATGCACCAAACTCCCAGATTCTCTGTACTGTGTGGGAAACCTTGGCACCAAACATAACGTGCAACCGGTCTGAAGCTGAAGATTTGCACTCTGCACCAGTGTAAATGCCTGTGCAGGGTGCAGCACAGGGGATATCTCGGCCTGTAATATGGAATTGTTTGAGTGCTGCAAGATAAATGTTACTCTAGTCTTCATTCTTGAAATTGTGCCTACTTTTTTCATTCCCAGTGATTGCTTCTTAAAGAGGCGCTGCCTTTTGTGTGCTGTCTCGTGTATGAGATCTTGACAAGCAGGAAACTTAGGATCTCACAGTATGATGTGGAAGAAAAGAAATGTGATTGTTTTTTCTATTTAAAAAAAAAAGCAACGAAAGCACTGTTAAGTCAGATGGGCACATGCTTTGTGTAGCTCCCAAGGCCTATCTGAAGAGTACCGTATAAAAACAAAGCTTGGTGAAGAGGAAGCAGCTGCAGGAGTGATATAGAGCCCTTTCTTATAAACAAAGAGCACCACCAAATCTGTTGGAGCATGAATATTAGATTTGCTGACTTTTGCTGACATCACTGGGAGAGATAAACATATTACAAGGAGAGGAACAGCTTGTTGCTTGAGAGGTTGCCAGATGAGATAAGCAAATGGCGAAATGGCAAATGAAGACAGGGTGCCCATCCTGACTGGCTGAGCATAGCTGAGAGTTGCAACTCGGTGAAGTGCTGTAGTGAACGTAACTGCTCTGGAACAAGTGGATAAAAATGAACTATGAAGCTCTTTTTCCCTAATAACGAAGAGCTAACAGCTGCTTCCATCTGGGAACTGTGTGAAAGTGCCTTACAGCTGTACAATAATAAACAGCTAAAAACTCCGCAGAGCCTACTGCTCCATTTACATTCTTTCCCAATCTTTTGCCTCATTAAACTGTAATCTTCCTCCTAATTATATTTCATCAATCTATTGTTTATGGAACTCTAGATCAAATGGCAAACATATTGAAACAAAAATAAACTTATAATTAGTTGTCTTCTCCTCACCCCTCCTCCCTGTGTATTAGCAAGTGCATCATTATCAGGCCCCAGGGGTTTGGTGAGGCAATCAGTTTACATGGTGCACTTTTGGCAGCAAAGAATAAAAAAAACATTTGTAGCTGCATAATATGATTTACCAGCTCTAGGGCTCCAGGGTCTACACTTCCATAAATATATGTGACAAATTATCAATAAATCATTCTCTGGTCTACCATATTGCATAATGTTTATTGAAACCCAGTTCTAATAAATATAAAAGTCACCTTTTTTATCCAAAGCATAAGAAACAAAGATGACAGTGATTACAAACAGAAATGAAAAATGAGAAATAAGTCCCTTCACAAGCAACAAACCCTTTTTCTCTAGCATCGTTACAGCCTCAGTGTTGTTGGCTTCTAAAATCTGCCTTGAAAACAGATATGACCTTCAAGCTGTGATTCTGTTCTTTGATTATGACAGATATTGTTCTTCTGATTTTGTTTGTTATTCGTGTAGTTCCCATGTCTGATTCTTGATCTCTGAAGAAATCAGCCCAGTACTTTTTCAGCACACCAATCAGAACTGCGTTAGAAATGGTAAAATTCTTCCAAACTTGTCCAATCATAGATCAGCCAAGCACAATGAAACTGTTCGTTTTGTTCATTGCAAGAAATTGTTTGAAAAAGGAAACAAAGGGAAAACCAGAATATTTGCATGTTATTTAATATTTACATTTTTTGCCTTTGTACACCGAGAACTACAACTCTAAAACAGTTATGCTACAGTTTTCCTTTTTTTTTTCCAGTCCACTTGGTAACCACATAAATTGGACCAAATATTGCTATGGCATTCACCCTTACTAAATATTATTTTACGAAAATGAGTAAATAAAAAAAAAGTTTGGGCTTGACTATATTTTCCCACCACCATCAAAAATTATTTTTTCAGATGCATATGCGTTTCTAGCAGCAAGTTGGATGTGTTTCACCTGTTAGAGATGCTAATTAAAACATGGGATTATACTATCCCACTATTTTCTTGTAGGTCAGCATTTGGAAGTCACTAGACTTCTGTAACACTTGAGAAAATCAACTTACATATTAACTGAACTTCCCTCGTCTTTTGTATTCTGTAAATCAAACATCAGATACCCAGAACAGACCTAGCTAGCAACTACTCTTCAGAAAGCTTAACTTCTCCACTAGTCTTCCAATCAGTCTTTTTCCCTAGGACTCATAGCTATCTTTGTATCATGAAAAAGACCTCTGCTAAAACACTTCATTCATCTTTCTTAAATTTCTGCAAGGTGAATCCTGCTCTGTAGGACATATAATCTATAAATTCACTGGTTTGTTTTTCTGATGCAAATAAATTCCATCCAATTCAGGTGCCTTCTGAAGGCAGAACAAAATTTTCTCTCATCACTTCCATGGAAATGTTGTTTGTTGAGAACTGTAGGACTGAAACCAACATCTTCCCTTCCAGATTAGGGAAAATTTACTGTTCAGGCTTTCTCTCAACACAGAATTTTTCTTTGTTCCTTCCATTATTTGTTCTGAGGGCAGTACAGGCATTAGTGTGGCTGTGTTTGTAGGGTATGACCAAGTCCTTTCAAAGTTTTGGAGGAATTCCCTATAGGTTTAAGACTCTAATTCCTTGACCAACTATAATAATCCTCCTGAAATCATTTGCACTGTTCCTATGTAGAGGTGTTAGCACATCAGAACCTAATAGAATGTGAAAGGAGGAATGATTCTGGCACTCCCAAAGCATTAAAAAAAAAAAAAAAAAGCTTAATTGTTTTAGAAATTGTTCCTCCACTGGCAGAGTGAGAAGTGCCACGCTGGCAGCTACAGCAGTGTTTGTAGCCAGTGTGGTTGCTTCATCCCTGGCTGCCAGGACAGACTTTCTAAAGCCCTTCTCACCTAAATACATGGGATCCAAGGAATCCAGGCTCACATCTCTTCCTGCAGAAGAGACAGCACATCCTCAAAACTCTGCTCAGAGGAGAAGGGATTCACCCTCTCAGCAGAGCAGAGCAGAGCAGCAGCAGCCCTCATCCACAGGAAGGAAGCAGCTGCAGAACAGCCATGCATTAGAGACCTGGTGCTAGCTCAGCATCTCACATTTGGTGATGAGTGAGGAAGTGGAAGAAACTGAGACCACTGAACTGACAGACTATTTCCATTTATCGAAACAGGATGCAGTGAGAGATCTGAGAAATCTGGACTTTAAAATAAAGTCGGAAAATAAACTGATGTGCATATCCTGACATAAAGAATGACATCTGTGAGAGTGTCTGAGCAATCTGCAGGAGGATATCAGAAGACTAACAGATGATTTTCATAGATTTGGATGCCAGAGCTATTGCTCAACATTCATATATTTCTGATTTCATATGATAAACTCTAATGAGGTCGTAGCCTGGAACTAGGGGGAAAAAGTAGTATAAAGCCTAGATTGATCGTAAATCCAAACAAATCTAGCCAAAAATTAGTATTTCCTCAGGGAAAAGCAGACTTGGCTGATCTGCTGTAACAATTCTGCAATAGCTTGACATAGGTATTCTACATCTGCCTTTCAAGGAAAACTCTGAAAATAATTTTTAAAAGTTGAAAGGAAAAGGAGAGAGAGAAAAAGAAACCTATCA